CAAAAATTAAAGATCAATTCTTTTTTAACAAAGAATTCAGTTTCTTGAGTCAAAAAATAAGATTTATTTTCAAGAAAATTCAAATGATGATGATATTATCACTGACAAAAATTCTGGTAAATATATACTGTATATATATATATATTTCATATTATTTTAGGATGCATATTTGTTTGTTTATTTTAGGTGATTCGAATGATGACATAAAAAGAAAAGTGCCGAAGAAAGGAAAAAATTAAACGGATGTATCGATCATTATATAATTTTCTTTTTTTTTTTTAAAAATTTTTCTAAAAAAAATAATAAGAAATTATGTACCAATACAACGGTTGTTCCTTTAAGACGAAGCCGGAGAAATAATAAATATTTAAAAATGTAAAAAGTGAGTATATATTTTTTCTTTTATTTATATTATATATATATTTTTAATATTTATATTATATGATCAATATAATATAATAGAATAGAATGGAATGGAATGAAATTGCGAATTCATTATTTACATTATTTACGTTAAACAAATTTTTTTTTTAAAAATGTTTTTCATTAAATGATACGACATAAAATTAGAATTATTTTTTTTTATATTTTAAAAATAATTTTATAAATATAAACCAAACTTGATACGTAAATAATTTTTTTTTAAAAAAAACCTTATTTTTTCATATTTCGTATACGAGATTTATTATTGGTGTTTCAACGAGGGATTTGTTGTTCCAATTTATGGAATACATGAAAAAATGACGGGTGATAAATAAACGGATTGTAAATAGATGGTAAATAAGGAAATGGATAATATAAAAGATAATATAAAAAGATTTTCAAAAAACTTTACTTAATTTATTTATTCATAATTATGTAAATCGGATATATTAAAGAAGATTTTTTTTTTATATTAACAAGGAATCATGTGAATATGTGAATGAAGTTTATCTTTAATAGTTATTTTATTTTGTAGTTATTTATCAGTATTACGTTATTTACTTTTATTTTTGCTTTAAAAATAAAATAAAAAGCAAACAAAATCAACTCAACAAATAATAATAATAATAAAAATAACTAAAATAAAACTTCCATTTTGATGAGTTATATTGATTTAGATGGATTAATGTGTTTTGTCAAGGGAAAAATAGCAATCCATTTAGAATTAGAATGATTAAAAAATATTGATATATAAATCTTTCTTAAAATATCTTTTTTTTTTTCTTCTTTTCCATGAGAAAAAAAAATAATTCAGATTGATGATTAAATTGATGATTTATTACGTATCAATTTAAGAAATTGTTATTATTTTATTTTTTTCTGACAAGTTTCACATTAAGGGATTGTTTGTTCTCTCTTTTCCTTTCAATTTTATTTCTCCTATCATATTTTTTTACGTTTAATTTTAATATTTTATTGAGATATCATTTATTTTTCTATATAAAATATTTTTAAATATCTTTTCTTCGCTTTTTAAATAAAAAAAAAAAAATGTTGTTATCAGAGAGAGAAATATCGAAAAAGGTATATATAATTTCATTATAACAAAATACGCGATATCATAATTAATTATTATTATTATGATTACGATTATTATTTTATTTGTAGTGGAATAAGATCAATTATTCCCGATCCACGAAACTTTTTATAGGAACCTTAGCAATTCAAACATTATTGATGGCATTTTTTCTAATAAAAGTGACATTTCGAGATGTTCGTCTTATAGACGAAGCTTATAATAATAATTATGATATGGCTTGTGTTCAAAAAAATTTTGATGATAATGCTTTTATTAGAATGGAAAGAGAATCTTCACTTCTTTTTTATATTCAATCATTTTTATTTCTCATGGGTTTAGATGCGGTATGTTGTTGAAATAGAATAAATACATCTCTCTCTCAAATATCTTGTTCGATTATTTTTCTCTCGATGGTTTCTAGATTGTCTATAAAGTTAATAATTATTATTAATTAAATTAAAAAATTCGTGTTCCTTTTTTTTTTTTTTAGGTAATACGTCAGTATATGCCTCAAATTAAACTTGTTGCGTTCATGAGTATTCTTATTGCTCTTTTCGGATTTGTAAGTTATCAATTACATATAATATTCTCTTAATAACGTTTTCTTTATAACATTCTCTTTATATAACATTATCTCTTACAACTTATATAAATATATGTATATATTAATAATAATAGACCCAAATCGCAGAAACCAAAATTAAAACCGATCAATTTAATAATAAATGTGGACAAAGTCAACCACTCGATCCCAGTTATTTCACCAATGATGTTCCAAATATTATCATGACTTCTTCATTAGTTTGTTTTTTGGTATATCTTACATTCAAGATGAATAAAGAATTTGGAGGACTTATTTATAAGAAAATTGGAACTGATAAGAAAATGCAAAGTATATTATTATTATTATTATTATTATTATTATTAGTCATTGTTAGAATTATTTTTTTATTTACTACTAATTATACTAATAATAATACTTAAATAATTACTTTAATTTTGTAGAAATGTTTAAAACACGGCTTTCGTTCATTATGTTATATAAAGCCAATGGGTTCTTTATTCTCTTTTTGTTCGTTCCTACTTTGGCATTGGTTATATCATGTATTCGTAATTTCGATAAATATGGTAAAATTACTTTAGCATTTTCAGTATTACATGTAATTTTTTCGGGAGTTGCTTTGAGAGTATTGTTTCTTGCTGGTAGATCGGTAATTATTATTATATAAGAATATTAATATTTATCTATTATTGTTTATTGATTAATATTTAAGTATTGTTATTTTGTTAAAAAAAAAAAAAAATTTTTTTTTTTTTATCTTTAAAGTTTAAAAAAAAAAACGGTATTAAGCGAATATTATATATAATTGATAACTTACAAATCCGAAAA